ATTCAAACTGAATGATTTAACTACAGATCAATTTAAGTGTCTAATATTCATTATGGGGTTAAAGTCACCATCAGAATTTGAATTACGCACAAAAATGTTAAATAAATTGGAAAATGAAAGCACGAAAGTCACGTTGGAGACCTTATCAACAGAATGCCAAAAGATACTAAATTTAAAAGTCGATACAATGCTCATAGAAAGCAATGCACAGGTAAATCGTTTACGTGTCAATAACCATAAAACTGAAAAACAAATCAAAAATAATGGCAAGTCAAAAGAATCTTCAAGTTTACCGAAAACACCTTGTTGGTTTTGTGGTGAATTTCATTACTCGCGGCACTGTCCATTCAAAAATCACAAATGCGACAGATGCAAACTTGTCGGGCATAAAGAAGGATATTGCAAATACCGAAAAACTCAAAATGAAAATCAAAAATACCATAAAATTGATAAGGGCCGTCAATTCAATTCAAAAAGTATCTTCACTACAAACAAAGTCAATATGATTAAACGCAAATACATATTAGTCAAAATTAATGGCACACCATTAAATTTGCAACTTGACACAGCATCAGATATAACAATAATTTCTGAAGACAATTTCAAAAAAATCAAAGCCGATAATGTTAGCGAATCAGAACATACAGCACGCAGCGCAACAGATGAGTTACCATTGTCAGCAAAATTCAAATGCAACGTAGAATTTCGAAATCAACAGCAAAGTTTAACTTGTTTTGTTACTCCTATACAAAATCTCAACGTAATGGGTTTAGATTGGATACAAGAATTGAACTTATGTAATATGTCAATCAATTCTATTTGTAATAGTATTTGTGAAAATCAGGATAGTATTCAATTGTGTTCAAATCCCAATAAAGATACTCACCTGAAACATTTTTTTTCAGATGTATTCGATGGCAAAATGGGGTTATGCACTAAAACAAAAGCAGTAATCACAACGAAACCAAACGTTCAGCCAGTATTTAGGTCAAAGCGTCCAGTTGCATATGCGGTACAACAACTAGTTGAAGATGAACTCAAAAGACTCCAAGAATTAAAGGTTATTTCACCAGTAAACTTCTCCGCATGGGCAGCACCTATAGTTGTTGTGAAAAAAACAAACGGAAACGTACGCATATGTGCTGATTTCTCAACTGGTCTAAACAACTGCCTCGAATCACATCAATACCCATTACCATTACCAGAAGATATATTCTCAAAATTGGCAAATTCAAAAATATTTAGCCATATAGATTTATCGGATGCATTCTTACAAATCGAGGTTGATGACGCATCGAAACATCTACTAACAATAAATACACACATCAGGCTATTCCAGTACAACAGAATGGTTTTTGGAATAAAAACATTTCCAGCAATTTTTCAACAAATTATGGACCAAATGTTAGCAGGACTAAATTGCACTGCATCATATATTGATGACATATTTGTTTCCGGTAAAACAGCATCTGAACATACAGACAATTTATATGCAGTTCTTACAAGGGTACGTGATTATGGGTTTAAATTAAAATACGAAAAATGTAATTTCTTTAAAACTGAAATTAAGTATTTAGGGTACATCATTAATCAAGAAGGGTTAAAACCTGATCCAGAACGTATTGCCGCTATCAAGCAAATGCCAGAACCATCAAATATTACAGAATCACGTTCTTTTCTTGGCGCAATAAATTTTTACGGGAAATTTGTTCCGAAGATGCGTGAGTTAAGAGGACAACTTGATAATTTACTTAAGTTAAATGTAAAATGGAAATGGGACGCGGTACATCAGAAGTCTTTCCATCATCTTAAAACTATAATGTCATCAAATTTATTATTATGCCATTATGATCCAAATCAGAAGCTAATTGTAGCTGCTGACGCATCAAACTATGGGTTAGGCGCATGCATCATGCATGAATATTCAGATAGATCCATTAAACCTATTTGCCATGCTTCACGTTCTCTCACTCCGGCAGAACAAAAATATAGCCAGATAGAAAAAGAAGGACTTGCACTCATATTTGCAGTTACCAAATTTCATAAAATGTTGTATGGAAGAAGATTTATATTGCATACCGACCATAAGCCTTTACTGACTATTTTCGGAAGAAAAACAGGCATTGCTATACGTCAAGCTAATCGTCTTCAAAGATGGGCAATTCAGCTTTTAGCATACGATTTTGAAATAAGATTCATTTCAACAAACAGTTTCGGATACGCTGATGTATTATCTAGACTTATAAACAACAACGAAAATATTTCTGAAAATTACGTTGTAGCATCAATCAAATTAGAAAGAAGTGTAAATTCAATTATAGTTAACACTATAAATGCTTTACCAGTAACACATAAAATGATCACATATGAAACAGCAAAAGATCCAATTCTAAAACAAATAATATATTATATTACAAATGGTTGGCCTAACAAAACAATAAATAATAGAGAATTACAAGCATTTTTACACAGGAAAAATGAGTTATCATTAATAAATGAATGTGTTGTGTACGGTGAACGTATTGTTGTCCCACAAGTCTACAAAAAACGTGTACTTAAACAATTACATCGTGGTTATCAAGGTATTGAGCGTACCAAGGCATTAGCACGGAGTTTTGTATATTGGCCAAACATTGATACTGATATAAAAACATTTATTCAAAATTGCAATCAATGTGCAAATGCAGCAAAGATGCCTACGAAAACATTACTTCATTCTTGGCCCACACCAAGCGAACAGTGGGAGCGGGTGCATATAGACTTTGCTTGACCGATAGAAGGATGGTATTTTTTGGTTATTGTCGACGCATATTCAAAGTGGCCGGAAATTGTTCAAACAAAAACAATGTCATCACAAGCAACCGTGAATATTTTAAATGATATTTTTGCCCGATTTGGTCTGCCAAAAACAATCGTATCAGATAATGGAACACAGTTTCGTAGTGAACATTTTGAACAATTCTTAAAACATAACGGCGTTGAACATCTATATTCCAGCCCTTACTATCCAATGTCGAATGGTCAAGCTGAAAGGTTTGTAGACACTTTCAAAAGATCTTTAAAAAAATTAGAAGGAGAGGGGACGATCACACAAAATTTATGCACATTTCTTCAGACATATCGTTCAACACCGAATGTAAACTCACCAGAGAAGCGATCTCCAGCAGAAGTCATGTTCGGAAGGAAAATGAGAATAAATTTAGATTTGCTGCAGCCAAAAAAGCTACACAATGCAAAGTTAAGTCCAAATAAATTCAAAATGGAAAAGCAATTTAACAAAAGGCACGGTGCCAAGGAAATAAAATACTTTCCATCAGATAAAATTTACGCCAACATTCCAAATGGAGTTAACCGTTTCAAATGGATGCCTGGGGAAGTCATTGAGGAAAAAGGAAAAGTAATGTACAATATTATTCTGAACAATGGAAAATTAATTCGAATTCATTGTAATCAATTACGAAAGCGCTACCACGATCAAAATAATAACCACAGGTTTTGGGAAGCTGCACTAGATGTGTATGACTTACCGCAACAATCAGATCAGTTTACAAAAGCACTCAACAATCAGACACTGCCTAATATTCTACCACTATCGACATCGCCAACCGAGTTACCCATAATGCCTACAACAATTTTAACACCTACATCACCTGTTCTTCGTAGGACAACACGTAATCGCAAAGCAGTCACTAGGTTTCAACCACAGTAAAACATTTCGAAAAGGGAAGGTGTTACGATATAAAATCAATTATCGTAACGAGATGGCATCACTAAGGTGATCAGCTGTTTTGGAGCATGCGAAGAAGGAGAGATAGAAAAAAGCGCGTGCACATGTAATAATTAATTGATAATTGAATAAATGATTTTGAATAAATAAAAAAGAGAATTATCTAAACACAGAAATATAACAGACATTTTGATCACTAATAAACAATATTTCCTCACGTGCATTGATAAATTTTCGAAATTCGCTGTTAAAATTCCAACAGCATCTCGATCTTCTCCAGATGTTAAACTTGCGCTCATACAAATACTCTCTATATTTAAAAACACTAAAATACTCGTGTCTGACAACGAAAGTGCCCTACGATCGAACACTATTACGACATTTTTAAGGGATCATTTTTCAATTGAACAATTTTTTGTTCCTGCCAACCACAGCGAAAGTAATGGTCAAGTGGAAAAATTTCATTCAACCCTTCTTGAAATAGCACAATGTGTAATGGCACAGCAAAATATAACCAGTATAAAAGAAGTAATTTTGATATCAAACTTTAAATACAATAATAGTATCCATTCCGTAACAGGTAAAAAGCCTAAAGACCTACTATATGATTCCACACCAGTAGTGATTAAAGACAATATAGAAAAACTAAAAGAAGCTCAAAGCAAATCGCTAGAACGTTTTAACATAAAAGCTTTAACTAAAACCTATCACCCTGGCGAAATTGTCTTTGTTAAACGCAATAAGCGAATAGGAAATAAGTTTAGTAAAATTTTTATACAGACCACAATAGAAAGAGATACTGGCACTACAGTACAAATTAATGGCAAAACTATTCATAAAAGTAATCTAAGATAAACACTCTATTACAGGACAGAATCGATGAATTGACTAGTATAATTAACACCATGCAGCATAATACCAACAGTAATGCTATGCATAAAGAAATCGTTTAATTTTCGAAGATATTACAGACATTGAGAACGTACAAATAAGTATAAACAATATTTTAAGTTTGGCTAAAATCAACATATTACAGAATGTTATTATAATTATGTTATGTTAAAATTATTTTAAATTATGTTATATTAAAATTTTTTTCCGTTGTTTACAATAAGTCTATTATAAAGTTAGAAATAAACCATGTACCAGTCTGTAGAAAAAAATTAAAACCTGTCCGGAAATGTATTGAAAATGTCGCTGCCAACATCTGTTAACCAATAATTTCTTAGTGTGCCTTACAACTGTTAAATTAGAATACAGGAAACTGCTTTAAAATAAATTAAAAATCGAAACGAGGACGTTTCTAATTAAGTATGGGAGGGGTTAACAACGTAAACATTGAAGCGCTGCGGATTTAGTGGTGTCAGCGGATAATATATTTTTTAATAAATATTATCATATTTATTTTAATATATTATTTAACATACTTATATCAATTGTAAAATATTAATAATAAAGAATTCGTATGTAACCAATTTCCAGACACTACGTCAGCATAAGATCATATTTCTTTTTGCATTTCTATGCTGAAGTACGTGTCGAACAGCAAAATCAATAAATGCGTTTTCAGTTTTAGAAAAGCGCTTCATAGGAAGCTAACGTGTTTTATTTAATTTTGTGAGTTAAGTCTTCATAGAAGACAGAACAATTAAATAAAATAACAATTGTGCCAAGACAATTGTTAACTTATATAATGATTGGAGATTTGAGCATTAATAATAATACAAATCCTATAATGATGATTAGAGGTTTGAGCATTAATAATAATACAAGTTGATTATAATGAAAATAAAATATGATAAGAACAATAAAAATAATTAAAACATAGAACATGAAACACGGAACACTTATTGATTGGACTTCAATAAAATTTCAAGAAAACCCGTAATCTCTAAGGAAGACAAAAAGGAACCTGTATCGAAGCGCCAGCGCTCATTAGATGAGTCAGCTTCGAAGCCAGATGCCAAAAAGGCAAAATGTACGGGAATCAGCGGCAATTTCTCAACACACTGCTGATCCCTTATCGAAAGTGGGCAATAATAAGCCTGCTTCCATGACCGAAGTGAGTCCGGTCATTTCGGTGTCTGCTCCTTCGCCAGCTCACTCAATTACATCAGAGGAGAGCATAGGCATGCGCTATCTTTTCGATGAAGACGAACTCCTAATGAGTAATGATTCTGAGCAAGTTAACCTGCATCATAGCAAGGCTGCATCCGCCAGTCTATGGTCCTGATACAAGAACCATGGATTTATAAGGATCTTGTATGCGGAATCAGGGCTAAAAACTACAACCTATTTTATGCGGTAAATAAGGGTAAGCCTAGGTCCTGCATAGTGGTTAACAAAAAATTTAATGCTCTCTTACTTTCACAATATAGTGATGGTAATCAAACCGAGGTATCAAGGGCTCCTGGGGCCAAATATGGACAGTATCTGGTACATGACCATGCCACACTACCATCGAATATTCTGGTACAGCTAACGAGCAGCGCCAGAAGACTCGCAGTAGAGTTTCTAATAGGTTGCGATGCCAACGCTCACCATGAGGTTTGGGGCAGCTCAAACACTAATGAAAGAGGGGAGTTACTTTTTGATTTTGTATTTAGTAACAATCTTTTCATCTGCAGTGATGGCAATATGCCAACTTTTATTACAAAAAACAGGCAGGAAGTGTTAGATGTCACTCTTGCTACTGCTAGGCTTCACGAATCGGTCAAGAACTGGAAAGTGTCCACTCAACACTCGTTCTCAGACCATATGATTCTAGAATTCACCTTAACCTTGGATGAACCGAACATCTACAATCAAAAAACGTTTAGAAATGTTAAAAACACAAACTGGACGAATTATAATGCAGCGCTAAGTGAGCTGCTTTTAACCATTTCCTCCGATCCCCCTGGGAACACTTTTGATCTAGACAATCAAGTCCAAGATCTCACCTCAGTGCTTAACGAAGCTTTCAATTATGCCTGTCCCCTCACACAACCTAGTAGAAAATGTGACCCACCTTGGTGCAATAAGCATTTAGGTCTTTTACGAAAGGAGTGTAGGAGACTCTTCAATTGAGCAAAATTATATAATAATGAGAGTGATTGGCTGAATTACAAAACCTCTCTGCAAGAATATAAGAAAAATTTACGTAGGTCCAAGAGAGATAGTTGGCAATCGTACTGTCAAGAAATAAATAGCAATTCTGAAACCTCTAGACTGCGTAAAATCTTATCCAAGAATCCATCTGTCCCAAAGTTACTCAAAAAATCTGACGGGACATGGTGCAATAATAGTAGCGAATCATTACAATTACTACTAGATACTCACTTTCCGGGATCTTCTACTTCGGTAAATGCATCCACAGAGTGCCTTAATCTCTCACCGGTTAACTCTATTAAAGTAAACGTGCAGATCGTTAAATGGGTTATTTTTAGTTTTAGACCCTACAAATCACCAGGACCGGATGGTATTCATCCCATTGAGCTCCAGAATTCATGGCAGTTAATACACAACCGGCTTTTGGCAATTTTGGCAACATTGTTTCTTATTTACCTATGTCCCAATTAAATGGAGGGAGGTTAGAGTAGTTTTTATACCTAAAGCAGGAAAAACCTCGCACCATAACCCCAATGAACTCCGTCCAATAAGCCTCTCCTCTTTCATGTTGAAGGCTCTTGAAAGAATAATAGACGTAGAAGTAAGGCGTGCTGTAAGCCCCAATCAGTGGTCCCCCTCACAGCATGCCTACACTAAGGGAAAATCTACGGAGACAGCTCTCCACTCCCTCACTTATAGAATAGAAAAATCCATAAAACTCAAAGAATTTTGTATGGTTGCTTTTGTAGATATTGAAGGGGCCTTTAACAATATACTCCCGAGTGCAATAGTAAGCGCGATCTCGCGTCTGGGTGTTGATGATGCGCTCATTGGCTTTATAAATCAGCTGCTAACTGGCAGACTCATTGAAGCAACGATGGGCTCATCAACGGCACGCAGAAGGGTAAATAGAGGTACCCCCCAAGGAGGAGTACTCTCCCCTCTCCTTTGGAACATAGTGGTGAATGAACTGCTAATAAAACTGAAGGCAGAGGGCTGCGAAACTATTGCATATGCGGATGATATTGCGATAACAGTCACCGGAAAATATACCACCATTCTTAGGGATATTCTACAAAATGGTCTTAATATCCTAAACAATTGGGCACAAAAATGTGGCCAAGGGGTGAATCCCAATAAAACTGAAATCGTAGTTTTCACAAGAAAACATACGGTCCCAAATCTTTCTCCACTCTCTCTACGAGGTTCTGTGATACATGTGAAGGAGGAAGCCAAATTTTTAGGTATAGTTTTCGATAGGAAACTCACTTGGAAGAAAAACACTCTAGAGCGCGCAAGAAAAGTCAATGTTGAGCTTCTTCTATGTCAGAAAGCTATTGGTAAGAAGTGGGGTCTTCAACCTCGCATTACCCAATGGCTATATATAGCTGCTATTGTTGTATGGTATTATGGTATGGTGGACAGCTCTTGATAAATCTTCGTACTGTTCGGTACTTAACAGGATTCAGCGTAGAGCTGAACTCTGTATTAGCGGGGCGCTATGCACCACACCATCCATTGCACTAGATTTGATGCTTCAGTTACTGTCAATGGATATTATTAGTAAACAAATGGCAGCTTCATCTGCTTTAAGACTAAAAGCTACCTCACAATGGAGAGCCAGTGACTATGGTTATGCCTCCATTCTAAATCTTTTCAATTTTACTCCTAAAAACGTTGATTACATCACACCCACTCTCAACTTTGACAGAAAATTTGATGTCGTGTTTCCATCTAGAGAGGTACGAACGTCAGGTGGTCCCTTCTTAGATGAGGGCGTAACCATCTTCACTGACGGATCCATAACAAGTAGTGGTGTAGGTAGTGGAGTTTTCTCAGAGGAATTGAACAAATCTTCGTTCTTTAGGCTTCCAGATCATTGTAGTGTCTTTCAT